TCATGGCAAGACTATCTTCTCGAAGATCGACTTGGAGCGTGCTTTCCACCAGATCCCAGTAGCACCGGCAGATACCCAGAAGACAGCCATCACCACTCTGTTCGGACTCTTCGAGTACACTTTCATGAGTTTTGGCTTACGCAATGCAGCACAGACTTTCCAGAGGTTCATGGACCATATGCTTCGCGACCTCGATTTTGTCACCGTCTACATTGACGACATCCTCGTCGCATCTTCGACGCCTGCCGAGCACCGCCACCACCTACAACTCCTTCTCCAACGCCTGCAGAACAACAACATGAAAGTTCATCCTGCTAAGTGCGTCTTTGGAACCTCGGCCATCGATTTCCTCGGTCACAGAGTCTCGCCAAGTGGCATACAACCCCTACCACAGAAGATAACCGCGATTAGGGAATTCCCCAAACCTGAAACGGCGAAGAAACTCCGAGAGTTCCTGGGTTTAGTCAACTACTACCACCTCTTCATTGACAAAGCTGCCACCGTCCTAGCCCCCCCTACACGACCTTCTCAAGGGACGCCCAAAGAAGTCTCACAAGTCTCTCATGTGGACTCAAGAGGCTACTACGGCATTCACCACTATCAAACAGCACATCACACGCCTCACCCTCCTGGCCCACCCCGCACCTAACGCCCGGACCACTCTCACAACAGACGCTTCTTCTACTGCAGTGGGCGCCGTCTTACAGCAGGAGATCAACGGAATTTTCATGCCCGTTGCTTTCTTCTCACAACGGCTTCAACCACCACACCTCAAGTACAGCGCTTTTGATCGAGAACTCCTGGCCATATACTTGGCTGTCAGACATTTCCAACACTTCCTCGAGGCCCGTCAGTTCACTATCTTCACTGATCACAAGCCCCTCGTCCACGCCTTCGCTTCAGCTTCCCAGTCACATACACCTCGTGTCCTGCGCCACTTGGCTTACATCTCGGAGTTCTCCAGCGACATCCAACACATTAAAGGCAGCCACAACGAGATCGCCGACGCCCTCTCTCGTTGTATATCCACCATTCTTCCCTCATCTCCACCCATTGATTATGGGCAGCTAGCCGCGGCTCAAGAGAAAGACGAAGACCTGGCAGCATACAAGACATCCCCCTCAGGCCTCATACTCCAAGAACTCCCTGTTCCTGGCACAAAGATAAAATTGTGGTGCGACGTATCCTGTGGACAGCCTAGACCGTTCGTGCCTCACGTCCACCGCCGCGCTGTTTTCGACCGCATCCATGGTCTCAGCCACCCGGGTGTGCGGGCCTCCCAGCGCCTCCTCACGCAACGTGTCGTCTGGCCCGGCATCAAGTCTGATACTAAGAAATGGGCTGCCCAGTGCCTGGCCTGCCAGTCCTCCAAAATACATCGTCACATACGGGCCCCCTTACAAGCCTTTCCTATTCCCAAAGGACGTTTTCAAGTAGTACACCTCGACATCGTGGGACCTCTACCATCATCCTACGGTAGCACCTACATCTTCACCTGCATCGACCGTTTCACCAGGTGGACAGAAGCAATTCCCATGCCCAACGCTACAGCAGAGACTACTGTCCGCGCCTTCATGTCCGGTTGGGTTTCCCGTTTTGGCCCCCCCGCAACCGTAATCACTGACCGAGGAGTACAGTTTGAGTCACAACTCTGGCAGCACCTCCTACAGTTCCTCGGCACGTCTAGACAACGCACTACAGCATACCACCCTCAAGCCAACGGCATGGTAGAACGTTTTCACCGGCAGCTGAAGGACGCACTCAAGGCACAGCACGACCCTTACAGCTGGACTGATGCGCTTCCCTTAGTGCTCCTCGGCATCCGTGCGTCACACAAGGAGGATATGGACTGTAGCCCAGCAGATCTGACACTAGGCGAGCCCCTTCGGCTACCCGGGGATTTCTCACTCCCTCCTGATCCCAACCAAACCACTCCAGCCGTTCGTCACGACTTACTCCAAAAGCTACGACAAGCAGTTTCTGCATTCAGAGCTACTGCTCCACTCCAGCCTACTCGGCGCCCTGAACACATCCCTCCTGCACTACTCACAGCCGAGTATGTTTTCGTCAGGCATGATGCTCACCGCAACCCATTACAACGCCCCTACGATGGACCCTTCCAGGTGGTTACCCGTTCGGCAAAGTTCCTGACAATTATCCGGAATGGCAGACATGACACCGTCAGCATAGACCGAGTCAAACCGGCCGCCTTACCCGTCGGGCCCCCAGCCCAGCAGCACCATCAACAAACTACGCCTGCACCAGTCCACCCGCAGTTACCACCGGCAGCAACACCACGCCCACGACATTTCTGGGCACCCTCTTTTCACCCTCATGTACAACCTGCTCCTGTCATAGAACCTGCACCTGTAATAAACCTCCCTTCTATCATAGAACCTGCTCCTGTCATAGACCCTCCTCCTGTCATAGAACCTGAACCTGTAATAGATCTCCCTTCTATCATAGAACCTGCTCCTGCCATGGACCCTCCTCCTGACGCAGCCCCTGCAGCAGCAGGAGCACAACAACCATTGCTTGTACAACCTCCTCTAATCCCAAACCCTCTTTCTCCTCCTAATTCTCCCACAGGTTTTGTGTCACTGGATGGAGTTGTTACACGTAGCGGTCGAGTCGTACATACACCTGCCCGGTATGTGTTATGTGTGGGACACAACCCGGACAACATCCAGCCTCCCGCCGCGCCGGGAGGGGAGGGGGAGTATTGTAGTGGACGTCTCCCCTACAAACTGCGTAGCACCGCCACCACCTGCTATCACATTCCAACGTGCCGTTGCCTAGCAACCAAGCGAGAGCTGTCCCCAGATGTTACCGTATCTTAGCAACGAAACTATTCACCGGCGACTTCTCGGGTTTTCCCAACATGACTCATAGCGGCTGCTGGGTATATAAGCTCTGTCTCTCCATTGAGATTCATTCTGCCCATTTTCCTGAACAAGCAACACCTCCTCCAGCAAGCTCCTAGCTGTTAACATTTATTCAACCAGGAGGCCAGCAACAGGCAACATCTTCTCTAACGAAGCTCCTGCACATCTACCTCCTTCAACACGCTACTCTCCGAACGTCTTCTACTGAGCAGCTCCCCACCACACGGCATCTCCAGCACCAGACTGTCTTCATATAACTTATATATTATACAAGAAAACCACATTAGAGTTTCCTTCCATCCTGAGTGCTAGACAACATTAATATCTCGATACCCCTACAAGTGTATACCATCTACACTGAACAATTGTTATCAGCATGTGAACAATAAACATGGTACTGGTGACAACAAAAACTCTTCGTTCTCTTCCTCACCCGCCATAATACTTTAACATTATTTTATCCGTTAATTTGGTCGGCGCCCAAAACCTTCGTTTTTTACATTTTTTTACAGGGATTAGCCCACCCGGGCACGTCACTGACCCACATCGGGGCCTGGGGGGCGAAAATGTAATACTAATAATAATTAGTTCATAATAAATAAAATTTATAATACAAAATGCAAAAATAAAAATAAAATAATAACTGATATTAAAAAAAATAATAATAATAATAACACTGACATTAACAATAATAATAATAATAATAATAATAATAATAATAATAATAATAATAATAATAATAATAAAGAACCATAAAGATATACAAAAATGAAAAATGATCCAGTGCGAACTGAGAAACGATATATGCATGTTGTGCTGTCAAAGTAAGAGAAACAATTGAGACCCTGCAATTGTGTGTAAAAGAAGCAGAAAATCAGGTAAGCAACCTGGGACTTGGTCACAATTTTCGTGATGCCATATGGCAGCAGGGTCTACCATTAGACAACACCTCATGCTTCCAATATTTTCCCAAGCGGTAGTACCTCCCTGTTTGATAGCTGCGTACTACCAACTGTATATCTGAAAAAAAAACTATTAAGAGTGTTGCCTTTACCAACACCCGAGTAACAAAATATCCACCAGTGACCGTCTGCTCTCCGCCCCCTCCGTCTATCTATATGAGTGCACCACCCTGCTGTATCTAATCAGATTGCCGTAATTTTATCAAATCCAAGTAATGTCGGTGAGGCTCCAACACTCCCCACTCCCCGTACCCAAATAACCGTTTTATTAAACTTTATCAACGACATTTTCTACATCAAGCACACAATATATAATATGTACAGTACATAGTTTATTAGTTAAATATGTACTATTTTGTCACGTGTCACAATAGGAAAACAAATGTCAAGTTGGGGATTAATCTATCAGCGAGTATAAAAACATCATCAAATGCGAACATGTTTAACTTAAACAGTTCAAGTACAATCGAGAGCCTGTGCTGCACACGTCCAGCATCGTACACAATGGAGGTCAAAATAAAGTTGGCACAGAGGGTAAGTACCTCTAAGTACACAAGAATCAAGGAATGTAAAGTAGTTTATAGAGCCTCAGTAAAAGCAAAATGAGGAATAATAGAAACATCCTGCCCTGCTGAACGCTTTTGTGACCACGACGGCTACTAAACAGATCCATGGCTACTGCGTTGTCTGGCGGTCTCTTATTTATAGAACTGTACTCGTTAAACACACTGGACAGCTGGAGTTATATCTACCATTACTCTTAATATAAACAAATTATGTAAATCCAAGACATACAGAACACAAATCCTTTAACTCACAAACCTCGATTGGTCATTTCACAAGCAGTTACGGAAGAAACTTTACCCGGAGTGAATTTCAGGACAGCGTGGGATCAACTGTCGTTAAATCTACCGGCACCTTGTATGGTTATTTTCTTAGCATTGCAGCCTTCTTTCTTCCCTTTGTTCACACTCAATCAATGCCTCAAGATTCTCAGGTGCGTCGTGAACCATCGTAACGACACTGAACAGTGAAACAGGCAAATTTAACGTTTTCGCCTTCGTGATATATTAAACAAGTTATCGTAGAGGTCTTTTATCTTCAGAGTTGTCATGTTCAGCAGGGTTATATATAGAGGGACACAAACACTCACACGTGCAAACATCCTTAACTTCCTGTAGACCATGGCTGAGGTTTCTACCAGGAGCCATATATGGGAGATCTGGGGGAGGAAAGCCGGCCTGCTGGTTACGACACCTTTGCGTGACTACGTCCACTCGAGCACACTGTGTGACAGTGCCCGACTGCTGTTTGCTGCGTCGTTTGGTGTACACTTCCTCACTCTACACGAAATGAGTGGTGATGGTGGAGGACAGTGGTGGTGGAGGGGGAGTGATGGTAATAGGACAGTAGTGTTTGTTTTAATACATATTTTACACACTGGGTCTTCACCCCTTCACAATTAAACAACAATTGAACCTATTAAAGCAACTGTAAATCACTTCGTAACAATAAGTATCGTATCATACTTTTCTTACGGACTTAGATCTGTAATATACATTGGGTTACAGAAGGTTAGGTTAGATGAGGTGAAATAAGCAGGTGCTCCATTTTACCTGGTGAGCGTCTCTACATGACTACTTTTGTTATTTTTTACTCTTTTTTTATATTCTACCTAAAATCAACTTCTTGGGTGCATCATTACTCTTTCAATTTGGAGGAATACCAATTTTGATGGAAAACTAAACACAATCTTTTTAATATTGTTGTTCAAGTTAGTTCAATAGTAACGAGGACTATTATAATAAATTCAGCCATTGAGGACAGTCTTCGTACATAATGAATATTAATAGTTTTACTTTTGGTTTTTCCTTAAGATTAGTGAGAAACAGACACTTTAGTGGCTGTACCGACAGATGTGCGTCGCTCGTCTAATACAATGAGTCATAATTTTTTTATTTTTTTTATTGGGCACCCCCCAACATCCTTGCGTAAGGTGAAGCGCATAAGCGTTTACAGCGCCCAACAGGGAAGCATGCTTGCCTTTATGTCTCACGAGTTAAGGGCGTAGAAGCCTGAAGAGTCAGTGGTTTATGTCATCAAGTTATTGGAAGTTCCAAAAACTCCCTGAATACGAATTCGCAACTTTCGACTTACAACAGGTACCTACTTTACTGCTAGGTGAACAGGGACTAATGGGGGCTAGGAAGTAAGTCCAAACAACTTCCACCGGCCCGGGAATCGAACCCGTGACATCTCGCTTGCGAGGCAAGAACGGTACCGCTTCTACCACCGGTCCCCCAATGAGTCTTAATGTAGTAACTGCAATACAAAGAGTGCGCCTGCCTGCCATTGAACGAGTGCATTCTGCCTCCCAACCATTGAACGAGTACGTCTGCCTCGCGACCGTATAACGAGTGCATTCTGCTTCCCGACCGTTGAACGAGAGCTTTCCGAGAACTCGGCGTTTTGGAGTCAATAACTTGTATTGTATAAGTACAGTGTATTTGCACATCACCGTCAGCATAAACTTGTACTACGTTAGGTTAGGTAATAGAAGTCTTCTACTACCTCCTACTTATTCTCTCTATCATACCTATCTATTCCTCTATAAATATTCTTTTGCTATTCCTTTACTGCTCACACACGCGCGCAACTAGACAAATAGCTTCATCTATACCACCTGTAAGGATATAATATGAAGGCAACACGTACACGGTTCATAGTTATATCCTCCCACACTATATTAGTCTGGATTGCGGCACTTATCAATCTTTCTCGTAGTCTACAATTTACCGATTCATAATCTACCACGTCTATCAATTTATATTCTATCCCTCTATGTTTAATATATAACTCTCTCTACCATTTACTTTTATTCCGTCATTGTCACTTATAACTTCTCTCATTAAGAATTCTGAATATGTATTATACATTGTTGAAGATAGAACACAGCCTGTCTGACCTTGAACCAATTTATAAGTTCATTATTTACTAACACTACAACCTTATGTTATCCAGTTAGATGCATTCTACGGTAGTCTCAGTGCCATTTTGTAATTTACATGAAGTTAACCCATTCTTACATCTCCAATTAAGGGAAATTATTTGACGTTCATACCTTCGATAACTGTGAAACAACCCACGTCTCCAGAACTAATAGTCTCCTCCCGTGACGTATTCAGAGTTTAATCTCGTTCATTATTCTCTAAATGCACAAGCAAGTAACTCCAAACTTAAAATTCCCCAAGTGAGGGTAGGGCCTCTCTAGCAGAGCCCAACCTTCCTCTATACCTGAGCCGCATGTCATCCTATAACACCCTCGAGTCGATTTCCCATTGAAGAACACACCTATGCTGCATTCTACCTCGAGGCGGCCCATGGGCGTAGGAAGGGGGGCGGTAGGGGAGGGCAATGGTGCCCAGGCTAGGATAGTTACAGAGTATGTGTATATATTACAGATGATATACTGTAATTTATGCTTGACTTCAAAGACACATGTGACGTTCTAAGACTACACTTGTCATACATTGAGCGTATTGATGAAGATACTGAATTCAGTGGTCTAACTTTATATGGTCAAATCAGCTGTGAGAAATAGGGGGTTATTTGAAACTGGAACATTCAACCTTGGTTCAAATGGCCGCGGAGGTAACTTGAACTGGTGGGTAATCTGAAACTTTTACACTGGTATGTATCCTTTCAAGTGGATTACATATTTATATAGCCGGTATTCCTATATATATTACCTGTACCCTTGATAATGTCAGTGTCACACGTAAAGAACTTCAGTGATGTTTGGTATGGGTTTCACAATGATGTGTTTCCATATACGTAAAGGTATACACGAAAACCGTTTTCTAATAAAAGCTGTAGCTGTCCATTCTATTAAAACACCTGAACATTTGGTTGCTTGATGCACATTACCATTTGCTTGTTAAAACCACATCACATCACATCACTTTTCTCGTTGTTTCATAGAAATCCTGTCAATATGAATTTAAAAATGCCTTCTAAGTTGAGTGGTGCACAGAGAAGAAAGAAAAGAGGAGGTTATTGCTGAGAAGGAAGCTAGTAAAGCAAGCAAAGTTTTTAAAAGATTTTTCACAGCCAAGAAAGATGACTGATAACATACTGATAATGTACAGAAGACAGTGTGACTTTAATAACATAGATAAATACCGACAAGAACGAGGTGTCAGAACAAGAGCATATTTGATAATTTGTGAAAATGATGCTGTTGCAGACAAACTGTAGGAAGCAAGTGATGATAAGTATGAAAATAATGAGAAGGAAGCGTGTGAAAACCCCAATGGATCATTATACATGCGAGACAAACAATAAGATAATATTAACACACATCTACCCCCGATCCACATGTTACTGGTTTACTCCTATTTGAAAATGTAAACTTGCAACCGGAAATGAGTGGCCCAAGTGCTCTTGAGACACGTATACGTCCCTGGCTGGAGCAAGGCAAATAACTCACACCTGCAGCTATAAATACGGTATGTAGTTTGCATATAGAGTTTCCTGCAGCAGTATCTCAACACCTCGATCCACTAACAATACCTTTTGCAACACCTGTAACCAACGAGTTCACTGCCCTGTGGGTGACCAGTTATATTTCTTCCAGGTTCGAACATGAAGATGAGCATCAAAACACAAGTCAATCATTACGTTCTTGAAAACCTTTTGTTTTTATTCAAATGACCTCAAATGGATGCGCCACTAGTGACACCTGAACTGCCGGATGTGGTGGCATCCAGTAGTGATTAAAGTAATTAAATAGTGACTGCTGTACAGTACATAGTTTTCTGTGATTACATTTAAGTTTAGTGTAACTTTGCCAGCGCAAACTTTTTTTTTTGAGTGAGAGTTGTGAATTCTTGGAACAATCTGCCAGAGAGCGTTGTGGCGGTACCGAGTGCGAGCTCATTCTGGGCCAGAATTCACCAACACTGGCGCAGGTAGATACATTCTGGAGCCAGTACAGTACATGCCCTGTACTTACCAACAGTGTGTAACAGAGACGTGACGATCCCCAAGCGGCTAACAGGCCGATCAATGATGAAGAGGATAAAGTAAAAGTACAGTACAGTATATAATTAAGAATTTTCATAAAAAACTTAACCCAAACTTCCCTTACCTAACTAACCTACCTCAAGTATAATTTGGCTCTCATACGATAGTAAACGACGTCTTAAATGGAGCAGAGCAAAATTTCCATTAAGTTACAGCAATAAGAATTGTTATACTTTTATCCCGGTCCGAATAATTACCCAAATGTACCCAAATATAGCCGCAATGAAGTCAAATAATGGTCCTACATGAATAAATCGGACTGCTAATCACTTCTCGACTAGTATTTGGTGACAGAAAGTCACAAAAAATTGGAAAACTTACTTTAATCTGAGTTAATAGATCGCGTGCATGTACCGACGGAGCGAGGAATTACCCAAATGTAGCCGCAATGAAGTCAAATGATGGTCGTACAAGCGTAATTCGGGCTGTGAATCACTTCTCGATTATTATTTGGTGTCATAAAGTAAAAAAAAATTGGTAAACTTAATTTAATCTGAGTTGTGTTGTGTTAGGTTAGGTTAGGTACATGCACTTGATCTATTAACTCAGATTAAATTAAGTTTACCAATTTTTTGTGACTGACACCAAATACTAGTCGAGAAGTGATTGGCAGTCTGATTTATTCATCTAGGACCATTATTTGACTTCATTGCGACTACATTTGGGTACATTTGGGTAATTCCTCACTCCATCGGTACATGCACGCGATCTATTAACTCAGATTAAGTAAGTTTTCCAATTTTTTGTGACTTTCTGACACCAAATACTAGTCGAGAAGTGATTGGCAGTCCGATTTATTCATCTAGGACCATTATTTGACTTCATTCCGGCTATATTTGGCTACATTTGGGTAATTAGTCGGACCCCTTTTATCCTCTTCCCCACTGATCGGGTCGTTAGCCGCTTGGGCGATCGGTCACGTCTCTGATTACTTTTCCTTTTCATTTATCCTCTTCACCAAAAGATCGGCTCGCTAGCCGCCCGGGCGATCGGTCACGTCTCTGCCACGCACTGTTGGCAAATACTGGACATGCACCGGCATACAAACACCAACGGGCTCAATACTTTTACTTTTATCCTCTTCCCCACTGATCGGGTCGTTAGCCGCCCGGGCGATCAGTCACGTCTCTGTCACGCACTGTTGGCAAATACTGGGCATGCACCGGCTCCTGAATGTACCTGAACTCGCTCCAGTGTTGGTCAAGTCTTGACTTGAAAGAG